AATGTTTATTTCTTAAAGTTAGCATACAATTGTTCTTTCCTTATCACTACAAGCACACATCTTATATGTTCCATATGCTCATTTATGTTTTTGCTATAGACTAAAATGTCATCAAGATATACTATAACAAATTTTCCTAAATTAGTATGTAAAACACGATTCATTAAACACATAGAAGTGCTCGGTGCATTAGTGAGTCCAAATGGCATTACCAACCACTCATATAACCCATATTTAATTTTAAATGAAGTTCTCCACTCATCACCTTCCCTCGTACTAATTTGATGCACCATACAATTCATCTAATAAGTCATCTAGCCTAAGATAGGGTGAAGATATTTTACTGTTGTATTATTGATGGCTCTGCAATCCACGTACATCCTCCATGACCCATCCTTCTTTAGCACCAAAAGTACTGGAACAACTCATGGACTCATGCTCTCCCTAACATAGCCCTTGCTCATCGACACCTCCACCTGCCTTTAAAGTTCCTTCGTTTCCTCAAGATTACTTCGATAAGCTGGCCAGTTTGAAATGATAACTCCAGGTATGAAATCATTAGGTGTTCAATGCCTCGAATAGATGGTAATCCACTATGCCTCCGAAAAAACATCTTTGAACTCCTACAACAAAGATTTCACCAAACTAGGGAGGAGTGGGTTAGTTTCCTCAAAATTGAGGAGTGAGTCTTTGTAGACTAAGAAAATCATGTCTCTCCTCTCAACGACCACTCTCTTTAATTTATTCCCTTTCGCAAAGAAATTTATTCTTGATTTTTCTCTCATCTCGAAAGACTCTTTTTCTTTTCGCCCTTCTGGCTCCTCTCTCTTTTTCTCTTTACTCGTTACCTCACTTTTTTCTCTCTTGCTCAATATCTTATGAATTTTCCTCTTTTTCTCTAGCTCTCTCAGTTTCATCTTTTCTTCATTTTTCAATTTTATTTGGTCTTTATACACTTGTGTCGATGTTAATGGCGTGAGTGTAATGGTCCTTCCATCCTTGACAAAGTTGTACCGATTCATGTACCCATCATGAATAACCTTAATTTCGTATTGCCACAGCCTACCCAACAACAGATGTCCCGTATGGATAGGTACCACATCACATACCACTTCATCCTGGTAACTCTCATTTGAGAAATTTATCAAAACCTGCCTATGAACCTTAATTTCTCCACATTCATTCAACCATTGAAGCCTATAAGGTCTAGGAATCCCAATTTTTCTACGAAGGTTGTGCTAGCCACATTTGAACAATTCCCACCATTGATGATTAGACTACATACCTCATCATTTATGATGCATCAAGTGTGAAAAATATTTTCTCGTTACTGCATTAAATCATTTGTATTGACTTGAGTATTAAGAGCTCGCCTGGCGACCAACAGCTCTCCTACAGCATATTCCACTTTTTCTCCATCACTAATCTCTTCTAACATTAGCATGTCGTCATACTCATCTACACTTTTGCTCACCACCTCTCCATTATCCCGCAACACCATCGTCCGTTTATTTGGACACTGAGAAGTGATGCGTGCTGACCCTAAGCATCTAAAACATTTAATGTCCATACTCCTCAATGGTTTTGACTCTGTCTTGGGTACGACCTTGCTAGTACCTATTTCCTTACCTTTTTGTAACTCAGTCTTACCTTAGAAATAGCTCATTCTCTTTATTGTTATCCCACTTCGATTTTCAAGATGGATTAGAAGCTGAAGTCCCCACTGGTTACCTAGCAGTCCATTTCCTCTTCAACTACTTCTCTACCTTCATCGCAACATGCAACATATCCTCCAACTCCACACAATTTTGCAGCTCCACCACATTGGCTATGTCCCTATTTAACCCGTTTAGAAAATGAGCCGTAGTAGCTTCTCAATCCTCCTCCATGTTTGCCCTGATCATCAATATCTCCATCTCCTTGTGATAATTTTCTACACTTTCGACCCCTGATATAAACTCTACAATTTTTTATGGAGTTTTCTATAGTAGTAACTAGGTACAAACCGCTTTCTCATCATCGCCTTCAACTCATCCAAAGTGTTGATAGGCCTTTCCCTATTCCCACGCCATGAAGTGACTACTTGATCTCACCAAGCTATATCGTAGTCAGTGAATTCCAAGACTAGTATCATCACCTTCTTTTCCTCCGAGTAGTTGTAAGACTCAAAGATTAATTCCACCTTCTTTTCCCATTCTAGATACGCTTCGGGATCACTCCTACCCTTAAAATAGCGGGATGGACATTTGGATGTTACCTATATTACCATCTAACTCGTCTCCATGATTATTTCTACCCAGTCGTTCAAGCCTATCACCTCTATTTCACATGCATCCCATCTCAACCCCTTCATATGCATCTTCATCCAATTCACTACCATATTCAAACGTCTCCCACCTTTCCATCCTAGGCTCCCTTCTACCCAACCTCCTAGCATGAGGTGTTTTCTCCCATTGTCCCTACTAAGATTTGTAACCGATGTATTAAGCCTATCTCTCATATCTACCAACAACCTTTCAAATCACCTCATCATATCATCCACCTCATTGATGTGATTGCCATTTCGGATGGAATTTGAGCCTTCTTTATCTGACATCCCAAATCTAGAATTTTTATTTTTATTTTTATTTTTTTTGCTTTACCAGTATTTGCTCGGAATCACACAATATGGCTCTCTCTAACAATCTTACCACTCTGCCTTATATCACTCGGTACTCTCATCCATTTCTCCAAAGAACAAAGTGAACTCAAAGGAATTTAAGACTCGAGGATTCTCAACCGAATGAAAATCAAGGAATGTGGATTTAAGATACTCAACAATTGTATGGCAAATTGGATGGAAAACTAACGGGAATTTAAAGGTTAATTGACAAAAACTTAAACTAATTGACACGGGATTTTAAGTTGACTAAAAACAATAAGTGACTTAAAAGAAGTAAGTTGAACAATAATAATGACATTTTTCTTAAACAAGAGAAACAAAAGATTTAAACTACCAACAAACCAATTAGAGTTGTTTTAGGTGCTATTTTAACCTCAAAACAACTTTTTGAAGAATTTGATGGAATTGAAATGGATCAAAGAATCAATTAAAGAACAATAATGACACGAATATGCAATGAAGGAAACATGAATTTAAAAGACTCTAACTTAAGAAGACATGAAGAACAAAGACTCAACGGAAAAATAAAAGATATAACCTGTTAATTTGGAGCCTGCGCTTTGATACCAACTGATGTAAACCCGATTAGCACGGATACTATGAACCCATAGGAGATTGATAAGAAATCCAGAAAAGCCAAAATAACTGATTTATGAGTTTGAATCCTAGAAAAAACGAATCAAACAACCCTGCAATAATTGTAATTAAAGGACCTCTTGATTACGCACTCAAAGACCCGTAATTGGATTGTTGAACGCCACAAGAATATAATTCTTGATAAGTTCTAGATGTTCTAAGAACGACTGGAAAAGAAAGCACAAAACTCTCTCAAGGAAATTTCTCCCAAATTGATTGATAATGGAATGATGTGTGTTTACAAGAAAGAAAACCTATTTATACTAATCTGAAAACCCTAAAAATCTATGAGAAAAAAGAAAATAATCATCCAAGAGTAAAATAATTCAATCAAAATTAAAATTCTTCTAAAATATAGAAATTCCCAAGAAAGGAAAAAAATCTACCACGACTTTGGCCTATGCTACCGCATGGTGTAACATGGTACGGTCGCATGGTTCAATTAAAATGGCTTTCTTGTGTTTTGGTTAGCCACCATGCGACCACATGGTTAATTCTACTCTGCGGTCACATAGTTGACCATAGTGGCTCCAACTTCGACTGCTTTTCTCCAATTGATCCAACTTGATTCGTCTCTCAACCCCAGCATGAAAGTTGTCCCATTTTGCACCACAAACGATGTCTCATCAATTATGGATCAAAAAAGTAATCCCATCACTTGTTTCACCCACTTTGCTCTCGACCGCATCATCGGTCCACCTTCGATTATCAAATGGTCTAGTCCTGGGATTGCCTTCATCGGGTTCGGCTCTTGGATCGCATCATTTCCCTTATATGGTGAAGGGAAATTTAAAAAAATGCTCCTAATTTTTTGAGTTATTGAAACACTTAAATTCATCTAGGTTACAACTATCGAGTTTAGCTACCATTCGTCAAGTCCGGGGTAGATGATCTACAGGCTACAGTTTTCCTAATCATGATAAGTTCAAATATCCATTTTGGGTTGTGGCCTAAGGTTGTCTCTAAATATAATCAGCTCCTAAAAGTAAAGATGATGGCCAAATGTGGGAGAAATTTTAAAAATATAAATTATTAATAACCGAAATGTATATCCAAAGTGCATATCTACATCTTTGTATGTGGAGAAAGAGAGGTATGGGACATCATCGTTGTTTGCAAGGAAGATTATCAAAGTGCCAGTAAATATAGGATAGAATTGAAGAAAGAACCCCATATAAAGTGGTATCCTTCTAGGTATTGATTTATCTTAATTATTCTCTTTTCTTTGTCTATTTATGCTTTCACACAGTTCAATACTAGCAAATTAAATAGCATTGGACTCGACTCGTTCAATGAGCCTGGTGGGAAGGTGTGGTGGGGTTGTTCACGAGGAACTAGAATGGGGGAGATAGAATGGAGATGAGAAGGGTATGTACTTACACCACAGCCATTTTTTTTTTTGGGGTTTATTATTCATAATTGTAAAATTATTGTGGTTTAATTATTAAAACTTCGTTCAATTAGGGTGCAATTATGAAGTGCGTACAAAGAAAATTTTATAGTGTCAGTATAATTCCACTATAAAAGTAACTCTTTACCATATCTTCCCAAATTATCCCTTTAAAATATTTCCATGACATCCAAAAAAAATTGCCAAATCAAATTATTAACTTACCCCTAATTTAAACCCCCAATATCAACACATAACTATACATCACAAGGGCATTTTTGTCCTTCAACCAGTATTTTTAACACCTACAATGGCAATTCTTGTAAATTCGATATAATCGACGCCTGTTTCCAAAGGTTTGAACAATATAAATAAGGGCTCAAGTCTTTCTTCTTATAAGCCTATAATTTTTTGAAACCCTAGCCACTCATTGAGGAGTTGAGTTTAGTCCAAAGGCTCCCTTGAAGGATCTACAAAATTATGTAAGATTTCTTGAGATTTTGCTTTTGTGGGTTGGGTTGTTTTTTTTTTTTTTTTTTTTTTAATTAACTTTCTGCCAGTGGACCATAACTTTGAAGGAAGATGTGTCTGGACTGGAAAATTTAAAACCAGATAGGGAGTTTCACTTTGTTAAGGTCTCTGTTTGTGTTTGATTTTTCCAAAATTATCTTTCTGTTAATAGACCATAACTTAGTAGGGTGGCTTTGGTCTGCAAATTAATTTCACAACTGGGATTAAAGTTTGAGATTTTTTTCCCCATTGCTGAATTTTAGATTTATCTATTGCTTTTTGTTGAATTTCAGAATCTCTAACTGTTTTCTTGGAAAAACGAATAAAAAGAATCAGTAATGAAGGAGAAATAAGAAGGTTTAAAATTAATATCAAACTGAGTATTTTTTGGTTCATCTTTAGAATTAATCCATTGATTGGATTGAAGTATTTTTGCTTCGTGTATGTCAATATTCTTATGTGTAATCGACAAATAGAATGTATGGTGCGTCTAAAAAAATATTGTAAGTAGTAGCAGAATTTTTTTACGTGGAATGTAAATTGTTGATTGATGTGATCTTTGAGGTATGTGATCTAGTTTATTTTCTAGCTGAATGCACCATAATTGTTTTGGCTTTTTATCTCATAATTTTAATTAAAGGATGCTAGGTTTTCTGTGAGAATAAAAATGAATAGGTTCTCATCACACTTCTATCTAAAGCCAAATTACTGTTTTTCTTCTCAAATTCAGAAATTTGTTGATACGTGAATTCACTTACCTTTTTGGACCCTAAATTCAAATGAACTTCCTGTTGAATACATCAAAAGAAATTCAGCTGATCATCCTTTATATCAACCACAAAAGCTATCATCTAGTGTTAGTCACATCATTTTGTTTTATGGTCGAACATCGACCACTAGGTTTCAAATGCTCCCTTAGATGATCTTGTATTTAAGGCATTGTAGTATCATGTTTGGCATGCTTCCTAGCTTGTAGTTATATAATCGAATAAATTGTTGCAAATGAAATACCTATCTTCGTTATCAGATAAAATAATAATTTTTTTTACCAATTTCTGATATATTCGATGAGATCTTGCTGAAAAGCCAACATTCTTGTTATTAAACGAAATTATTAAATTAACAACTTTTGAAAGTTTAATTACCGATTCTTGCAAACTTGATTTCATGTTTTATAAAAATGTTTTGTTGGTTTACTTTATTTTCCTTTTTATTTAGTTGTAGTGCATTGTTGTGGGTCATACGGAATGTTTGAATAATAAGTGGATTCTAGAAAATGGGTAAAGGGTATGTTTGACAAACTTATAAATTATCTTCACCAAACATGTAGCTAGATAACTCTGAAATAGTTAAAGGGAACTAGGCGTATATTTTTACATATTTTGTTGCATTTAAACATTTATTTTTTTTATTTTTTTTTTTTTGGCTTTCACAGAATTTTTTTTTTTTTTAAGCTTGATCATGTGGATCTTTACTTTTCTTCTGTTGAGTTACCGGTTACATTTTTTGCATGCTTTAAACAGATAAAGATATCAAGATGGTTAAAACAGTGAACTTTTTCAAGTGCTACAATCCTACAACCAGTGCACGAAGATTGGTATCCATATATTTATTATCGTTTCCTTTTTTTGGTTAAATTAAAATTTTTGTTTTAGGAATCTTGGCTTTCGTTCTTAATTAAAATTCTGTTTTCTATGGTTTTATCTCTTTTTTACCACTACAAATTTTATCTCGTGCTTAGAACTAGGATTTTGTATGCTTAGCATTTTATCGCATATAATGAAATTTTGGGCGATTTGGTTATTTTGTGCCTTCGTACCATGTGAATGGATGAATAAAAATTGTTAAAAAGTAAATAAGTTTTCCCCAGGAAGTCTTGTTGTGTCATGAATTACGTTAAAATGCTTTGTATACCTGGAAGACAATATCAAAATCTACAGGACTAAAGGAAGTTTGTGATCTCAATTACATGATACCACTAACAATTTTATAAAAACAACGATACAACTTGCTCACGTACCAAGCTTTTAAAAGCCTACACAGATGCTAGGGAGGATTTTGTTTTTTGTTTTTTTTTTTTTTAAATACTTTAGAGTAGAGATACACAAAGATCTAAACAATATCTTCATGATGACAGTTAGGATGTGTGTTAAACAGGAGATGACTCTTCAATGTTTAAAGAGTTTTACTATGACCTAATTCCGTCTAAATTATTGATTTTAGGAACTTCCAATGGCTTTCAGTTTGCAATTACGAGGAGCTCTACCAGATAGGGCATTCCTCCGAGATCGTCACACAAATCTGTGGCCTATAAAAACGGAAAAAATTGATAATGTCTGGTTTTTTTGTGATGGCTGGGAAAAATTTGTTCAAGATAACTATTTGGAGTCACGGGATGTCCTCGTGTTTCAATATGATGGGGACAATTTATTTGATGTAAAGCTATTGGGGTTATCAGGTTGTGACAAGGAGGGCCATTTATATATCAACACGAGTGTTGAGGATACGAAGGAAGAAGGTGGTGTAGCCAAAGCAGTGCAAGTGGCTGATGGTAAGTCGTGATTATTTCTGCCCATTTTTCCCAATTAATTTTATTAGGTAATTCATTATTTTGTCAAATTTAATCCCAATGACACAACCGACTAAGATGGAGGTAGCAAAGTGCATGATATTGAAAGCAATGAAGGCCTATATCACACAGAATTAGAGAATGAAACCGAAGAGAGTATTCATGATAGGGATGACAATGCCGAAGAGTACATGGAGAATTTGGAAGACAAAGACAAGGATGCTGAAGATGAGGATGGCAAGGAGGAAGACGCTAAAAGCAATGAAGATACGACTCAAGAAGATGATGAATTAGATGTTGAGCAAGCGGCCGATGGTAAGTTCTGCATATATTTATTCCCATTTTTCCCAGTTGATTTGGTATATAACTTTCAGTTTGTATAATTTCATACTGATGTTATTGGTTGGTTATGCTGGACCAGGTCAACGTCCTCTCAATTCTTATGGTAATGATATTTTCAATTCCATCAAAAGCAAAGTTATTTTCCTCTTTTCTCAAATCCAGAAAGGTGTTTATACTTGAACTCACTTAACTTTTGGGAACCCTCAAGTGGATTTCCTGTAGTATACATTAAAAGAAATTAAATTAATCATCTGTTATATCAACCAAAAAAGCTCTGATCCAGTGTTACTCATATATTCAAGTTTCTGGGATACTTATGTACCAAATGCCCCTTGGATGATCTTATATATTTAAGGCATTACAGGATCATGTTCGACATGCTTCCTCGCTTGTAGTAAAATAAATGTATGAATTGTTACAAAAGTTACCGATTCTCATTGTTAGATAAATTACTTATTTATTTGAATATTGCTGATACCTTGGATGAAATCTTGCTGATAAAATCAACATTCTTCTTATTAAAGAGAAGGTATTAAATTAACAACTTCTGCAAATTTAATTACTGATTCTTGCAGAATTGATTTAATGTTATATACATGTTTTGTTAGTTTATTTTATTTTCTTCATATTCTTCTATAGTACATAGTTGTGGGTTCTATGAAACATGTGAATAATAAGTGGTTCCTACAAAATGAATAAAATGTGTGTTTGACAACCTGAAAAATTATTTCTGCCAAACATACACTTGGATGAACTCTGAAAAGCTAAAGGAAACTAAGCATATGTAATAATATATTTTTCTGCATTTTCAAATTTTTTGTTAGCTTTTCACTGAATACTTTTATAAGCATGGTCTCTGATCTGCCGTATATTGAGTTGCCAATTGCATTTTTTGCATGCTGTAAACAGATAAGGATATCAAGATGTTTAAGCCAGTGAACTTCTTCAAGTGCTACAATCGTAAAACCAGCGCATAAGGATTGGTATTCATTTATATATTATCTTTGTTTCCTTTTTTGTTAATTTAAAATTTTATTTTAGAGATCTAGGTTTTTGTTCTTAAAGTAAAATTCTACTTTGCCTTGTCTTAAAGTTTTTTTCGCCTCGTATAATGTGAGCATAAGAATAAAAGTTGTTAGAGAAATAACTTTAGGACACAGATTTGTAGTGTCAAGAATTAGGTAAAATTATGCTAGAGAATTTTTTTACCCTATTTTATTCTTTTAGAGTGTGATATTTAAAGATCTAGACAAAAACTTCATGACAGTAAGGAAAATGTGCATTGAACTAGAAATGGCTCTTCAATGTTCAAAGAGTTTTGCTATGATCTAATTCCATTTATCTTATTGTTCGTAGGAACTTCCAACAATCTTTAGTTCACAATTACAAGGAGCTCTACCAGAAAGGGTATTCCTTCAAGTTTGCTACAAAAATCTGTGGCCTGTGAAAATGGCAAAAATTGATAATGACTGTTTTTTTTGTGATGGATGGGAAAAATTTGTTCGTGACAACTCTTTGGAATCAGGGGATATCTTTGTTTTTCGATTCGATGGAAAAAACCTATTTGATGTAAAACTGTTAGGGTTGTCAGGTTGTGATAAGGAGGGTCTTGGGCATTTCAATATTAGTGTTGACGATAAGAATGAAGAAGATGGTGAAGCAAAAGCCAAGCAAGTGGCTTATTGTACGTTCGGCATTTATTTCTGCCTATTTTCCAAAATAAATTATTATGTTATTCATAATTTTGTCTAATTTAATTCTAATGGTATCAACTGATTAAGATGGAGATAGCAAAGAGGATGATGTTAAGAGCAATGAAGACCTACACTACATGGAAATTGATGAAGACGAGGATGCTGAAGATGAGAATAGCGAAGAGGATGACACTGAAAATAAGATTCAAGAAGAAGGTGAACCAGTAGTGGATCGAGTTGCTATCGGTAACTTTAGGATATATTGATGCCCATTTTTTCTATTAATTTTATGCATATCTTTCAGTTTGTATAATTTCTTACTAATGATATTGGTTGGTTAAGGTCGACCAAGTCAACGTCCTCTCAATCCTTACGGTAATGACCTTTTCAATTCTGGCTTGGCTATCCGGCCAAGAAATCCTTACTTTGTCACTAAAATCAGGAAATCACGGCCGAATGATTTGGTAAGGCTTGCATTCATGTTCCTAAATGTCAGCTCATAAATCTTAGATACTTTTTGGTGGTTTGAGTAAATAATGGATAAGTTGTGGCAGTATATCCCCAAGGAGACAATCAAGGACTTCCAGCTGCACAATCTACCTGAAGAGATGTTCCTCATTGATCCACATGACAGACAGTTTCATGTGAAGATTAAAAGATGGAAGGATGACCGTGTGTGGTACCGAGGAGGTTGGAAAAGTCTCTGTGCCGTGAACTTTGTAAGCAAGGAGGATACGTGCATCTGTGAATTTGTCGAAGGTAGGTTACATGTCCAGATTGTCAGAAGAAATAATTGAATGGCATCTTAACATGTAATTTACATTATTTTACCTTTCACCTAGTGTAATTATGGATTCTCAAGCTTCAAAAGTAAAACTTTAAGTCCCCAACATATTTAAATAGGTAAATATGTTGAATTCGCACGTATCTCTTATATTTAAATATGGTCCCCAAGTGATCGAAACCTTTAACGTTAAAGTTGAATTCTCACATATCTCTCACATTGCTCACAACTTTGAGAAGACAAAGTTGATAAATCAATTAACATTCAGGTAAAAGTCATTTGCGATTTTAACATATAAATTGAGAATTTTCATAATGTGGAGATCTAAATTCGCATATTCAAATAGGTCAAAATCCAAATCCTCACTTTTAAAGGTTAAAAACTTATTACATAAAATATTGGGAGTACGACCCTAATTTACCCAAAAAAAAAAAAAAAAAAGGGTAACATGTAAGGAAATGGAACGGAGAAAATTAGGAAAAATAATCTTAATGAACAATGATATCTATCACGAATGATTATAAACATTAGTCTAGGTGGCCTAATTTATTATTTAAAATATAAAAATGCATCACAACACACTCATGATCAATCGAATAGCTCATTGCCACCTGATTACAGATAATTGTGCAAGGTTCGAAAAGATTCAACCGACTTGAAAAAAGGATTACATAGCTCGAATAGTGTTTTTGAAATATACTGTTTATTGTCTACATTGTTTGATACAAAAAGTACTATTATGTAGGATTTTTAATTACAAGAGTCTGTTTAATTAACTTATTGAGAGTCACAAAAAGGTAAAGTTAAATACTTTAGCTAACACCCGATCTATGGGAAACACAATTTCTATTTTAAGATCCAAAAAATCACTTATGTGACATCACTGCTAAACTGGGACTATTTGACAGCTAGTGGTCTAGATGGCTATACCACATTAATATACAAACTCAACCTGGTTGGTTGCCTTAGAAGACAAAATTCACGCCGTTGCAAGTTTTTTTTCCAATTTAAATGATTTAAGTTGGTCATGTAATAAGTATGCTCATTTGATCTAACCTATGTTATTTGCATGGTTTACCTTTGAAAATTTACTTTTGGGACAAATTAAAATAAA